TTATATATTTAATATATTGTTATATCTAAATATAATAGATAATAAACTATATGGAATTTAATAAAATATATTACTATAATTATACTATATTTAAATGTTATTTTATATAGTTTATATTGTTATTTAATATTTCAACAGTTTTAAAATCTGTAGACATTTCTGCAGTGTACATATATTTGCAGCAGAGCAAAGCCTTCATTTGCATACCAACAGATATCAACTAAAATAGCCCTTAAAGAAACAAACAACACAAAAACTTGGTAAAAGAAATTATTCACAGGCTAGTCTTGAAAATACCAATTATTTGATTTGTAAATCACTGGGATCTTGCAGCCTCAAAGGAGGCTGGAGGCCTACACAAGCCTTTATCCTTCCACCAAAATGCATTAAAACACCTTTATGTGTGACATGTTTCTGGAACTGACAAGGGAAAAAATTTCAGGCCTAACTGAACAGCTATTTTGGGCTTACTTCTATATTTATTCCTATAGAAAGTTCCAAATGTCATGGAATGATAACAAGCAGCTGGCATACATAAAAGTGGAGCACAACCTAAAATATCTGTTACCATTAACACAGTATGTGCTGCACTTGTACAGTAACTACACATCATTTTTCATTGACCAGCAGTTAAATTGCTTAAACAGCTGGCAAATTTTGTTTGTAGAAGTAGCACCAAGACAGCTGAAGCTAAACTAATTCAAATTACAAGTACAAGAAGACTGAGAAAAACAGAAAGACTAAAAAGTGAAAAAGCCTTCATAAAAACGGCAAAATATGGTTGAATATCAGCTGCCAAAGAATTTACTTAAAAAGGCTTTGATGACTAAGTATTCAAAAGAGCTATTTCTGCAAAAAATCTCAACTCTTATTATCTAGAAAAAAAACCAAAACAAAACAAAACAGGAAATTTAGGAATGCTATATACATCCTTTTGAGTTAAATAAAAAGAATCAGCATTTCTTGTCTCCCTGAAGTTCCTGGAAAGAAAAGCCCACGCAAGAAAAACACCATGTTACACTGTTTCGAAGTACTGAACATTAAAACTGAAGGGAGAGTGTAACACACACTCATTTTATAACACATTACGAAATGAGAAGCTCAGATGGTAAGATTTTTCACAGCTAAAACACTGCTATCACTTTTAGATATAAGCTAAAAGCTATTTAACTGTATGAAACAAAATTTGGTCGCCATTAAAGAATGGCTTTGGCAAAGCCAAATAGCAGCTCTAAACTACCATCCCCTCCAAGAGACAGTATTTAAGCACATTAATGTCATTTAAATACATTAGTGCCAGAGATAGAGGATTGTTGTTGAGAATAAACTTATTAAATATTTAAAGCAAGCTCACAATTCCCACTGTCTAAATATTCACCCCCTCTTTTTTCAACACCCCACCCCCTGAAGAAAAAAATAGTCAGCAGAACACGATAAAGTTCAACTCCTCGTGTTTAACTCACCCATAAGGAGGTGCCGAGGAAGAACAAACATCTCCCCAGGGCAGGTCAGGTTCAGCCTCCCCCCCTCCTCCTCCGGCCCAGATCGGTCTCGGCCGGGCTCGGTTGGGTTTCTGGGTCCCCAAGGGCGCTGCCCCTCCCCGGCCCGGAGAACCGCCCGGGAGCGGCGGGTACAGCCGGTGGGGCCCTCCCGGAGCAGCTCCTCGGGGTCAGCTTGGCCGCGGCGGGCTCCGAGCACACGCGGCCTCCGCTCCGCTCTCCTTGGCCCCAAGATGGAGGAGCCGCCCTCAGCCCGCTCCGCCCGGGGAGCGCCCGCTCCGCCCCAGCTCCAGCCCCGCCACCCAAAGGCTTCCCCAGCGAACCCGCGCGGAGCCGCCGCTTCCCCCGGGCCGGGCCGGGCCGGGCCCCGCTCGTCCCTTCAGAGCCCCCCCCACCCCAGGCCGCCCGCCCGCCCGCCTCCATTTTATAGCGAACCCAAAGGCGGCCGCGCCGCCTCTCCCGCGACCTCCCCGCCACCGCCGCCGCAGCAGCCCCGCTCGTCCCCTACCCTCCCGTCCCGCTACTTCCCCACCCGCCTCCCTCCCTCACTGACCGTGGACAGGGGATGGAGGTCTCGCTGCCGCCGCCGCGGGTCTCAGCCGAGCCGCGCCGCCATTTCCTCCTCGAACCGCGGCAGCGCCGGGCGTGGCCGCTCCGCCCCCGCCGACACCGAGATGGCGGCGCGGGGCCCAGAGCGCCGCCCCTGGCGCGCGGCTCCCGGAGGACCCGGGCGGGAGAGCGGCGGCCTCTTAGCCCCGGCCCCTCGGAGCGCTGTCCCTCACCCTCAGAGCCCTATTCCTCAGCCCCGGCCCCTCGGAGCGCTGTCCCTCACCCTCGGAGCCCTGTTCCTCAGCCCGGAGCGCTGCTGCTCCCCACGGTGCCGTTCAGCGGTCACTGCCGAGAGCGGAAGACCCGGCCCGCTCCCCTCACAGCCGCTCCCGGTTCTCTTACGGCAAACGCGGCCTGATTTCACCTCCCCAGCTCTAAGTCATTACACGTGAGGGTGCGCGGCCCGGAGCAAAACCACACGGTTTTATCAGTGCCAAGGGGCGTCCGCTCACAGTGAACTCCCTCACGGCGTGACCGTGGCAGTGGAGCTGCTGCAGAACCCACCTGCTCACGGCAGCTGTGCTCACTCCACTGGGGTTTGCTTTGGGTTTCCTATTCTCCTCTATCCGTTTTAGAAAACCAAACGGCAAATTACCGCTGCAACGCTTTCCTCTGGATCCAAGTTGTGGATTGCTGGGAGGGAACGTTCTCTGCATCTGCCAATCCAAGGCATGGAGCCCTCCCAGGAAAGGCCGTTAACTGTGGTTAAACTACCCAAACCACTCTCCAGGATCCAAGATCTATAAATTGCTGCAGAGAGTGAACTCCCATGTACATGTTTTGTTCCGTCTGTCACCTTTTGGGACATTGGCACCCAAAAACACCCACACCTCGTGGACTCTGAGGGCCACAGGAGACACCCAAAGCCACTCCTGAATTGGGCACCCAAAGAGCCTTTAGGCAGCTGGAGGTGTGAGATTTTGACTCCAATCCTGCATGTTTTCCCTCATGGGTTGGTAACGTGGATTTCAGTTGGATTCCAGACAGGTGTAGTGCTTAACGAGATGGATTTAGGAATAAAAACACGAGGAGACAAACATACTTCATAATAATTCTATAGAATTACAGGATTCTATCGAGTGCTGTGTTAAAGCCCAGGTTGGAGAATCTTCCTTTGCTGACTAAACACTTGTCACCTTCACAATCAGCACCTCAGTTCTTTCCCTGCCTTGTTCACTTCCTAATTACTTTCCTGATAGAGCCTAATTTCCTTTAATTTGGGAAACTTACTCCTGGGTTACTGGTCTGAATTTACACTGTCCTGGCAGCAAGCAGAAGGAGGGTTTTTTTGAGATCAATATAATGTGAGTTTTGTTTCAGTTTAGGCTTCCTCTGCTATAACATGATGGTAGTTTGCAAGTGGTTTGAACTGAAAACTCTGCTGGGAAATCCTAGCAGGGATTAATGATTATCAATCAGCTTCTAAAACCGTCTAATAAGCACCTTACCTGTCTCTCCTTCTTAGGCACTGGAGGAGCTTATGCTGAGACACCTACAAATCCCTCAGCACTAACTGCTTACAACTTCTTTCCACTGCCTTCCAAAACCTTTCCTGCTATTGGGCAGTCTGTACACTGAGACTTTCCTCTACAGCTGACACACCTTTATTTATTTATCCATTGGGCTTCCCTAACTTAATGTTTTTTAAAGCTTTGGTTTTCTAAAAATTTGCCTTATATAGTGTCTCACACATCGCGTTTTACCTGTGACCCATAAAACCTTGTGACAGACACTAAGACATCACCACTGGGTGCAAAGCCCTTAAATTATAAATATAATGCTTATTTTATGGCTCATCCCTTCCCTCACTTCTTCCTCACTGACTGTTCTGGTGAGCCAGTTTCAGCAGCCAGGAAAAAACAGAAGATAGTCTGTGATTAATTTTATTACATTGTAGGTTTTCTCAGTTTCAATGTAAGCACAACTGTAATGAAGGTGAATCCTAGGAATCCTAGTCTATGTGACACAGTTGTGCGTTTTTCACTCTTTGTTTTTGTGATTGTGCAATAAAGCCCAGCTTCCAAAACTCACTTGCATTTTCCTGAGGGGTATCATTTGCAGCATTTCACACATAAAAATGTGTATTTTGAGTTTATTCTCCCTTTAAATTTACAAATCCAGGTGTTGCAAAACATGGACGATGTAGTTTTCTTAAGAAAGGATGTTCTTTGATGTTTGATCTTTGAATACTTTCAAGCCTAGGAAACAACAAGGAGATTTAATCCATGAAACACAGAGCAGCAAACAAGTCCAGGTGTTAGAAAGACAAACGACTTGCTGATAGAATTGCCTTGTTAAGCTTTAGGGCATGACCTGCTTTAGTGATCTCAGACCTGCGGGGAGGTTAACAAAGCCTGGGAAGGATATACCAGGGACAGTGGACACAAAGAATGCAGAATTTACGGGCCACAAGGACACCTGGCAGAATTCCCAGGATAAAGAAGAAACTGATAAAGCCAACTCAGCAACTGTGCTGAACCAGCTCCAAGTGGGTAAAAGGTAATTCCGACAGGGGCAGATCGTGACCATTGACCCAAGAAACCCACTGACCCAAAAGATGAGAAGGATAAGCATTGCACTAATTAGCATGACAAGTGACTCATTAACAAACAGAAGACAGAAAATTAATTAATAATTGTGTAACTTGTACCCAGTGGACAACCAATTCCTTTGTTTGCTAAAATGTGTAAATACTATAAAGTTGTGATAGTCGGCGTGCTGGCTTTGTGGATTTGCCACCCAGCACCCGTTTCTGTGCGGAGCTGTAAATAAATCACACACGTCGCCTCTGCGCGCGGATTGGCCTCTGCGCAGCGGGTGAAACAGCCCGTTTTGGCAGCAGCGCCTTTTCTGCAGAGTGACTCACAAACCCGCGGCGGGTTCATCAGCTCCTCAGCAGCCGCTACGCCTTTGACGGAGATCTCCGATGCGAGCCCTCAGCCCACCGTTACCAGCTCGGAACGCGGCGGGGCCGCACACGGGTAACGCAGGCCGTGCCCGCAGGGAGCCTCTCCCCGGCGGACGGACCGCGCCGTGTCCGCGCAGGAGCCGCCGCCGCACCCCGCGCCGAGCACGGAGCGGAGCAGCCTCAGCCTCGGCTGCTGGAGCGGGGCCGCGCCTGGAGCGGCTCCCCGGGATGGAGGCGGCCCCGTCCCCGCCGCCCGGGGGCCGCTCCGCCCCGCGGCGCCGCCGTCTCTGTGGTACCCGGGCCCGGACTCGGTGGTGCCGCGTCCTCGCCCCGCGCTTCCCGCGCGCTGATTGGCCGCCGAGCCGCGGCTCTCGCGAGAGCCCGCGCGCGCCTGCGGCCCGGCGGAGGCGGCGGAGGCCCCGCGTTCGTGCGTGCGAGCGGCCCCGGTGAGACGGGACGGGACGGGATGAGATGGGATGAGATGGCGGCGGGGGGGCCGGGGGAGCGCGGCCCTGCCCTGCCCCTCACCTCACCCTGCCCTGCCCTCACCCTGCCCCTCACCCTCCCGAGGCGCCGGGCCTGTGGCCAGCGCGGCCCAGCGCTCCCGTGGCCCGGACTCGCGGAGGGCCGGGCCGGGCCGGAGCGGAGGGGCAGCCCCGGGGACCCCAGCGGGCGGGGGTCGCGCCGCGGCAGCAGCAGCAGCAGCAGCAGCAGCAGTGGTGGCGCGGAGCGGAGCGGCGGGAGCGCCGTTCCCCCAGCGTGGTTGGGGGCCGGCAGCGATCGCGGCCCCCCCGGGGCGGGTCCTGCCCCGGCTGTCCGAGATCAGGAGCTGGGGAAGGGAGAACCTGTCGGAAGCGGCGGAGGAGGCGATGGAGGGGTCGCGCTGCCGCTCTGCGGAGAGGGTGATCTCGTCTGAGAGGGTGGCGGTGCCTGTTGCTGTTGTTGTTGCCGCTTCTCCTCCCCCTGTCGCTGCCCTGTGGTCGTGACTTGTTGGAGGTAGAAATCGTTAAATGGGCCTTTGGTGAAGTGCTTTGCGTGCGAATCTAAACAAAAGTATTGCCGAGAAGAACGCCAGGAGGTATCGTTTCAGTAGCGTTGACAGGAGAACTTTTTGGGGCAGCGAAGCAGAGCTGGTTGTGTGTTCATTCGTTAATTGGGTAAGGTATCGTGGACAGTTTTGTAGCTCTGCAATGTATGGAGCTTTCCCAGGTTTGGTGATAATTTAAAGCAAATACTGTTTACATAGGCGTTGCTTTACGTGTTTGTCACAGTCTTTCTGGCTGGCTGTCAAACTCTGATTCATTTGTTTCACACGGTGATGCTGTGGGTCCTGTGTAAGTTCTAAGCAAGATTTATGTGGAGTGGGTTTAAGAGTAAGTACAAGGAGATGATATTTGAATTTTTTATTCTGAGGTTGCTGAAAGCAGCTTTTAGAGCCTGGTAAATAGATGTGAAAGAGGGAAGGAGCGAGGAGGAGAAAAATGTAAACCTGTGGTTTGAGATAAAAGACTCCCTTTTGGATTATTAATTTAAAAGAGCTCATAGAAAGCTCTGAAAAGGACAGTAACACAGTTCTTACACACATTAAACACATTTCTTCTTGAATCACGTTAAATGAGATGCTTTTCTTTTCTTGTAGTTAGAGTCCAGGATGAGTTATGCAGAAAAACCTGATGAAATCACGAAAGATGAATGGATGGAAAAACTTAATAACTTGCATATCCAGAGAGCAGACATGAACCGCCTTATCATGAACTACCTTGTCACAGGTAAAAATGAGTGGTGATGCTTGGAGGCTCTTCAATATGTGTCACTTATTTTATCATTCAGATTGGGCTAAATATGGCACTAGATGGAGGGGAATTAAGGGCTTTAAGAAATCAGTTGATTGTTCTTGGCTTCTCTTGGCAAAGTCCAACTACTCTGGTGTTCTCTTAGCTGGAAGCTGACAAAGATTCAGATTCTGTGGAATAGAAATGACATTTACAAACCTGAACTCTTTGCTAAAAGAAAGAGAAAACAAAGTGGGTTCTGCAGTGCTGTAAATAAACATGACCTGCTTCTCTGGGATGTCCCTTTTTGTGCCATTAAAAACAGAGCTCAGGAAAAGTTGCTGTTGGTAAGTAACAGTCTGAAAGCTGGACAGAACAACTATCAGAAGCAAGTTTTAACTGTGTGGGAAGGTAAACTCTAAAAGGGAACTGTTAAAATAGTTTGAGACCAGAATATTAACCCCTTCAGCACCTGGCCTAACTTGGAACACTCGAAACCCCTTGGGAATTGTCCCTGGCAATTAGGCTGCATGCCTAATTCCCAGGAAGCTGTGCTAGGGCGGAGGTGTTTGTATCCATCTACACCCCTGTTTACGCTGGGGTGGAGGTGAAGCCTCTGGGTTAAAGGAAGAGCATCATAGTGGGTGGTGTAAGTCAGTTTTGGGTCTAAAAGCATTTAGGGGTTTAAAATAGATGTTAGAGTGTTAAAAGAAATAGAGTGTGAGAAGCAAAATTCATTTCTCTTGTCTATTTTCTTCTCAGTAAAACTGCCAGATTTCTGTAAACAGATCTGGAGTTTGGGTGAAGGTGAAGCAAAACCAAATGTGATTTTAACAGTCCTGTTTTGCAAGAAGTACAGTGCTTGATTTAAGTATAAAATAGGCTCTCGAGTTAAGAAGTATCAAACTACAAGTTACATCCTTGGAGGATGAGGACACATGAGTTCAGAATGAATTAGGCATTTACTCTTAAGTCTGTGTTGGATAAATGCCTTCTTAAATAAAGAATTTTTCAGAATTCCAGATTAATCTTTAAACCCCAAAGTGCACAAGCAACACTCAAATATTTTCATCTAAGCTGGTGGGTTTTCTTTCAAAGTGTTTCATAAAGCAGATTTTATGGGTAAAACTGTTTCTTTTTCAGAGGGCTTTAAAGAAGCAGCAGAGAAATTCCGGATGGAGTCTGGAATTGAACCCAGTGTTGATTTAGAGACTCTGGATGAAAGAATAAAGATCCGCGAGATGATATTGAAAGGACAGATCCAGGAAGCCATTGCATTGATAAACAGCCTCCATCCAGAACTGCTGGATACAAACAGATATCTCTACTTTCACTTGCAGGTAAGGACAGGTGGCAAACTATCTTCGTTTTAGAGAGAGTGGAGAAAGTAGTGAAGATTTAAATTTAAGAGTATGTTAAGAGGTGTGTGACTGAACATGGATGCAATTTCAGGTATTCCTGGCCTTGTTTTGTAGTGATAGGAAACTTTGTGGCACGGTGCAGGAACATTCATATGCAGTTATTAACTTGAAAACTTGTAACAGCAGCTGTGGCCTATGAGTTACCAACTTCCACTTACTGTTAGTCTGAATTCTTGCTAGTTCCTGTAGTAACCCATCTTTTCAAATCCTGTTACTCAAAAGCACTGGGTTCCCTTTTTCAGTAGATTTTCGCAGACAAGTTGCTGTTCCTTGTCTCACACATTGAGAATTGACCTCAAACTGTCAAATTAAGGATTAGTGTTTGTCTCAAATTACACACTAATGTCTCAACCATGCACTCTTGAAATAGTGAGGATTTGTTAATTTGTGTGGCTAATGTTGCTTCCCTGTCTCTCGCGCGTAGCAACAGCACTTGATTGAACTGATTCGGCAGCGCGAGACGGAGGCAGCTCTGGAATTTGCTCAGACCCAATTAGCAGAACAAGGGGAGGAGAGCAGGGAATGCCTGACAGAAATGGAGCGCACGCTGGCCCTGCTTGCCTTTGATAATCCCGAGGAGTCACCGTTTGGAGACTTGCTTAACATGATGCAGCGGCAGAAGGTAGTGCTTTCTCAAAGGGAATTGATGTCTTTTATTCCTGTGTTATGAAAGTAAGGTCCAAATGGTTTTGAAATGCTTACAGAAGGCACATGTAGCGGTTTGCAAAAGAAGGGTTTCTTGAGCGACAGAAAAAAACTGGTGTTACATATTCAAAATATATTCAACTGCTTGGCTCTCTTCCCTCTTTTCTGCAGGCTCATAGTCTGTGGAGCTTTGTCCTGACCATTTCTGAGGAAATAACACCCTAGGTGTGATCTTCTCAGTGTCTGCGTGACTTTAGCAGTGTTAATCTTAGGAAGACTTATCACTGAACTCCAGTATTTCTTTTCCAGGTGTGGAGTGAGGTTAATCAAGCTGTTCTAGACTATGAAAATCGTGAATCAACACCCAAGTTGGCGAAATTACTGAAACTACTACTGTGGGCTCAGAATGAGCTGGACCAGAAGAAAGTGAAATACCCCAAAATGACAGACCTCAGCAAGGGGACGATCGAAGAGCCCAAGTAAAATGTGTGCAGATGGACATCAAACAATCTTAGTACTGCACAGTATACATTTATATCAGTCTGTGACTGAAATATTTTTACTACAGTACAGCACTCAATTCAGATTTTTCAATGAACATCTAATTTGAAGGGAGAAAAGTCCCTTTTAAATGCTGCAAAAACTGCATTGAAAGGCGCTGTATCTCTTTGAAAGTCTGACTTAGGCTATGCACTATAATACATTTTTAAAAAAACCAATTAAACAGGACAGGAAAAATAGCATTTTTAAAAGTACAGAACTCAAGCTTTCTAATTGGCTGCTGATGCCTAGTTTAGTGGCCAGTGAGTTAATATGGAGTTATATTGGCAACTGTTCGGTTCAGTTTAACTGTCTCCTGTTTGAAATGTGTATATAGAACAGTGAATATTTTCTACCTGTAAGTTATAGCCAGATATACATTCCCCTTAAAAGTAACTGGTCAAGTTTTCATCTATAAACTTCGCAGTAAGGTCAACATTTTGCTTAGGAAATAGTGTACAGACTTGTAAATCATAATTTAAGGACTTTAGGTTTTTGGGTTTTTTTCTTCCTTGTTTCTGACTTCTTGGTGCTTTATATGGTGAGAGCTATGTTCATAATGGATCAGTGACCCATCTTTTCAGGAGGAGTATTGATGGAAATAAGTTTGTTTTTCTTAATTTTCATGAATGACCAAAATGGCCCCAGAGGCGTTGGAGGGTTTTTGTTAACAGGGGCCTTTCCCCCACATGTCACATTTGCAGTTGTAGACACTGCAGTGGTTCCAGGTGGCTGATACAGCTTTGAAGGCCACTGGATGTCTGTAGGATGAAAGACTTGTGTTGGGAAATCAAGTGGTGGGGAGAGATGCTTGTTGAAGCCTCTGATGCATCATCTTGTGCAGGATCTGCCTTCATGCTTGCTGAATTGTAGTTTTAGAGCTACTTGGGCTGTATTTATGCCTTGAGCTGAGCAGAGCAGGGCTGTCTAATACCAGAAATTTCCGTTTTCTCACTTCTTCCATACCTTTCTGAAGAGATGCAGTTCATCTTCGTCTGTATTCGTTTACTGACTGTCCTCACTCCAGTTAGAATTATAGTTTTAATGTTTTCCATGTGAAGTCCAGACTTTCAAGTCAGCAAATTGTAATCTTCTGGGTATGGGATGTTCTGGTCGACTGATGGCAGCGCTGCACACTGGTTTGTACCCAGTGGTGGGAAGCACTAATCTTGCCAAATCTATCTCTAGATTTTTAGGTCTGTATATCAAGTTTTGCTGAGCAAAGAGCGAGCTGATGAGTGAAACAGCTTAACATCATGAGACACTGGCAGTTGTCACACCAGTCCCATACTGTACATAATCTAGTCTTGTATGGTAGGTATTACCCTGTAGAATGAAACTTAGTTTTCACTTAATTTTACTGGAATACTTAACGCATTAAACTGTATAAAGCTTTGCAGATACACCTGGCTTAAGGGAACTAACAAAACCTGTTACTGATTGCATTACTGTGAACACTGTTTACTTGTGTAGCTATTTTTTTGGGGGAAGCCATTGTTTGTTAAGCAGCTATGAGAGATGCAGAGCACCAAGGTTAAGCGAGATGATGGATGCAACAAAATCGTTTGTTCCCATTGCTTATTGATCGTTCTGTTCTCCACTTTGAGGCATTTGTGGTATGGAGGTCTTAAAGTTTATATGTAACAAACAAGCTTATCAGTAGCCCCCCAACTACAGCAGCAGCCTGGCTTTCCTTCACCCAGGCTGGTTATTCTAACACCAAACTTTTAACAGTTGTGGGTTTGGTTGTTTTGGTTTTTTATTTTTAATTTTTTTTTTTCTTTTTGAAGTCGGTTGATGTCTGAAAACCATGTATAACTTTTAGTTTGTGAGAAACTGTATGGTTAACGTAACCTTGTTTAATAACAAACTGCAGAAACAAAACTGGAATAGCTCTCATTCCTTCACATAGAACTGATCAGCTTTTCCTCTGTTCTGACACTTTTGTGTTGTCGAGTCTCATGTCAAGCTTCTCCCGGGTGAAGTGGAAAGTGGTGCGGTTTTGTGGCATGACTAGCATTTTTCTCCATGAGAAATGCAGTATTACAGCCCTGGGTGAGAAGTTCACTGTACTCCTAGAACGCTAAGTTAATTCCATAGAATATTTGGGCAGTGATTGAGTGTAGATTTACTTGAATTTTCACTAGCTTGTTGGGTTTTTTTCCATTAAAAAATAAACACGTTTTTTAAGGGGGTTTAATATAAAATTAGTCTAGAACTATTTCACTTTGTTTTTATGAACATGCCACATTGATAAGCAGCTTTAATCTGTAAAGTTTTTGGTAACTGCAAGAAGATATTCGAAAGCTATGCATTTTAGAGAAAGCATAAAGGTAGTGATATTGGTACTTCTAAGGATCTTTATATTAGTGTATATAAAATAGTTTGCATATACAAATATAATATATAATCTGTTTGAAATATTCTTGAATGGTAGGGGCTGTGAAACATATTATAATTTATGGAAATATTGTACACAGTAAACAGACGTCTCAGTACACGAATGAACTTTTGTCATATGCATGAGAAGTGTCTTATTTGGTGACTACTAATGAATGGGCTTTTGTTAACCCATTTTTGTTAGATAACCACTTTAACAAATATTATTAAATGCCACTTTGATCAGTTTTCTTTAGTGTAAAAATACATATTTTGTTCCACTGAATTTAGAACAGTATGAAAATCACTTTTGTAAGAAGATTTGTTCCAAACTCAACGGTGGCAGACAGATCTGGTCATTAAGGGTGGTGCACTCACTCGTCCTCCCCCAGCCTTGCCTTTGGTGAAAGCAAATAAGATTTTTTTCATTAACGCTTTGTATGTGAAGCAGTTGGGTTGTAAAATATCCTGTCATATGCCTCTGCAGAAAGGCTGCATAGCAAGTGTGTTTTGATTAGGCTACCAATCTCCCTCCTTTTCCCAAAGCCATCACCTCCCTGGTAACTGTCTTTGCTGTTCCCGTGTTTTGTTTCTGCCTGTCAAATCTAAGCTGAGCTGTGGTTGCTTCTGTTGTACAATGGAGGGATTTGTGAAGGGTGGGGGATCACAGGCTTCCCTGAAGATGAAGTGCTGGTGGTACTTGGAGAAATACTGAACTGCTTAATTTTATATAGCTGGAAAAGCAGAGGCTGCTGCACAGAAACTAACAGCAGAATTTTGAGTAAAGCATTTCCTCTCAAGACTTTTGAAGAGGCAAACATACACCTTGAAGCCAGGTGAAGTACCTTACTCTCTCTCTTTAAGATGATTTCATTGAAACACTTTCAGCTCCTTCCACCCACACTGAAAGAAAAATTGCAAAGCACGTGGAGAGCATTTATGTAGCATTTGAGATGTGTGAAATTACCTGGAAAGAATTCTGCCTCCTTTCCACTCCTTGTACATACAGGGGAAGCCATTACATTATTCTAGGGTGATTTTATTGTTTTTAATTTGTAAAATTTATGCTTTGTATGCTTGAGTATAAGCTTAAAGGCATTACTTAAAAAAAAATCCTCGACTAGATGAGTGTTGTTTGACTTATTTCAAACCTCCTTCTGTCCAAGTTGGTTACAAAGCTCATTAAACGGAGTTGGAGCGCGATCCCTGTGTGTCGTGTCTTCGGAGATCGGGGCTGCTGCTGTCAGCCACGGCTGAGAGCATCCTTCACATCCAGCACAGGAAAGGGGATGGAGTCAGATTTTGCCCTACATCTGCCTCTAGGCTACAGGTTCTGACCTGCACTGTAGATCTCCCTGCCCTCAGAAGCCATGTCGGCGTCAGTAATTGTTTGTGCTTTAATGTCCTTAATGAAACGGGACCAGGAGGGTTTTTTCGCTGTGGTGAGCAGGGGTGTCCCCAGCCCTGTTCCTCCTCTCGTTGCTTTGTGTGCTCTGCTGAGCACTGGCAGAACACAGAGCTCAAGAGCAGCACCTTCAAAGCAATTTGTACTTCCCCGTGGACAGCTCGAGGTGCTGCAAACTATTTTCATTCCTTTCTGGCCCCCTCCTGACTTCATACAGTAAAATTAAGGACAAGGGTGGTCAAACTACTGGTGGGCTGTGTGTTTTCTTTATTCTGTGGACAAGTTGCCTGAGACTGTTCTGGGTTAGCAGGGAGCTTTCAAGCTGCAGCCGGCCTGTCCTTTCAGGAGACAACAATTGTCCTTTATGGAACGTGTGAGCCTATTGCTCCTTTCACACCCCGTCAGGATTTGCTCTTGATCTGTGCTTAACTTCATAAAATCTTCAAATAATTCAACCATTGTGTGGTTAAACTACAGTGATAGTAAATGTCAGGTCAAATATTAACCCAATAATCTTTTGTTTGGTTTAATCTTTTGACAGATTAAGCTGAACGCAGGAAAAACGAGAGGAGATTATGTTCTTGTGTAAGATTATTTTTATTTTCTGTAGTCAGCACCTGTCTTCTGAGCTGATTCCATTTGCCATTTAATCAGCTTGGGGGGAGGTTTGCTTCCAGCAAATCATACAGCGGTAAAAGGAATTATGTCTGTGTTTTTACTTTTTAAAATTATTTATGTGCATTTGATGGATGTTACACTCAAACACTTCTTTCAACTGCAGCTGGTTTTGACAGTGAAAGTAGCTTCTGATTTGAGAGGCAAATTAGTCAAGCTCCTAATTGAAGAGGTGACACTGACTAGTACAAGGAGGGAAACCAAAGAGTACACAAAGAAAAAACTTGGCTACTCACTCACTAAAATTATGATTCAGTGTTGCAGTGTCAGTGTTGGAGACGTTTGCACCCCACAGCTGTGAGACTGAACACAGTATAACTCATACCTGGGTATGAGATAATAAGTTTTTGGTATTTGTCATTATTTTACCATGCCCAAGACCTTTTAGTCCTTTTCTGGGCTTATTACATGCATTTCACTCCTGTAGTTATATCAGCACTCATCTCCCCTCTTTTCTTGAATTAACTGAACTCCAAACATACACACAATTTAAAAAACACAAAAAAACCCAACAACAGATTGAACAAGGATTTGCATGTTTGGGTGCAATTTACCATGACTTGGCTCCCTCTTCTGGAAACGGGCACAGTAGCAGAGTGAATAAAAATACTTCATAGTTTCGTTTCCTGCTCAAATAAAAGGAGGGAAGCCTATGACTAGATGAAGGTTAACCTGTGGTTACTACACGTAGTTCCCCTCAGTAAAAGCTTGTTTTATTTATTTTCTCTGTTGGTAGCAGATCTGTGTGACCATGTGTGCCTGCCACAGGCCTTTGGGATAGACCTCTTTCTTCTCAGTAAGAAATACCAAAGCAAAGGATAAAGTATGATTTTTAATGATTTTTGCTTTTTCTGCAACCTTCTCCTGGAGCTGCCTTTGGTGTAAGAAACCCTTTTGCTATTTCATTCTCAAAGGTTCAGCTCAATAATACTGTTCTCCCTCATGACTTAAATAGCAGACTGCTCATCAGGGACCTGCCAAATGTTCACGCTGGGAGAAGAATGCGTGAGTTACCTTAATATTAGTCTGCTAAAGGTTTAAGAACAAGCATTTAGAGGCTGCTGGCAGCAGGAGCGGTAGACAGGAGGTGGCTGCCCTGCAACTGAGCGTTTCGGTGCAGCCCAGAAGCTCAACTACCATTCCCAAGGGCCATGCACGACCTTGCTCAGGCTGTGCGGGAGCTCCTACATCCTCTGCCGAGCTGAAGTTTTGCCGTGCCTGCATCCAGGCTGCTATCGGCCACAGCATCGCCTGAACGATGTCTTAACAAGGCTCCTCCGCCTGCTCCTTCATGTTCTTGAAATGAGTCACGAGTCCTTTTGTTTTGGATTGAGATAGCCATCATTTTAATTATTTATGTCCATAAAGGAGTCTGGTTATCTCTTTCAGATACTTACAACAAGGCAGCACCTCTATCCAACAGAGATAGATCAAGCTGTAAGAATACTTATCCCTGTTTAATTTTCCCTCAGATTCTTAGGATGGGAATATCATACTCTGTTCTAATCCTTTAAAAAGCAGAGACTTTTCTGCCGGCAGACCTGCGAGAGCAGGGAGCAGATTCCCTTCCCAGGTATCGGAGGGGCAAGACCCACCCTGGTCAGTCCCCTCTTTCCCTGCCCTCCACGGGGGTGTCAGTAATTACCGGAGGGGGAGGAAAGGAGCAGATCGCAGCGGTCCGTGGGGATCGGAGGGGCCGAACATCGCCTGCTCCGGGCCGAGCCCTGCGGGTCCGAGGCTGCCCCCGGGATAGGGACTGGTGCTGGCGCGGGACTTCCCGGAACGAACGGCGGGCGGGGGCGGCGGGAGGCGCTGACACGTGGCCGGGCCGGCGGGGGAGGGAGCCCGGCGGGGGAGGGAGCCCGGACGAACCGCGATGTGAGCCGGGGAGGCGGAAGGCGCTGCCCGCATGGCCGCGGGGGGCGGCGGCGGCGGCAGGAATGTGCCCGTGGGCACCGCCGAGCGCGGCCCCCACGACGGCATGAGGCGCGATGGAGACCCGTACTGGTCCAGGTAAGGCTGGAGCCGCTCCCGGGAAAGCCGCTCCCCCTGCTTGCGGGGCTCTCCCCGCATCCCACCGGCCGCTGCCCTCCCGGCCCCGGGACCTCCCGCATCCTCCGTGCCCTCCGCCCGCAGCTCCTGGGAAAGATGCGGTTCCTGGATGGAAGGGGCCGGGCGGCCTGAGCAGGTCCCGGAGCGGGGGTTTCGGTGCTCCCCGTCGGGCCGAGACCCTCTCCCCGGCCCCGGCGCTGCCCCCCGGGGGTGCCGCGGGACGGGGTCGGGGGACACGGTCCCACCCGCTGTCTCACCCCGCCGGACCCCAACGGAGACGGTAGAAGGAAGGGGGAAGATAGGGAATTGCTGTGAAACACGGGGGGAAAACGTCTCTTGAGTTTATTTCTGGCCTGTTGTCAGGGAATTAAACGCGAAACCGCTGTCAAGTTCTTATCGAAGTGTTCCAGCGGGGATGTTTGTACTGGCGATATTCATTCATTAAGATAAAGCCTGGAATAGTAGCTGGCAGCAGCTAGACAGCGTGAACTGCTCCTGAAGTTAAATAATTAAAATACTTAAAAATACGATTAAGCCCAAACTGATCACTTTTAACAGCAGGGACACGGACAAATGCAGAGTGCTCCAGCGTTTGGAGCAAAAAGTGGGACACTTGGGACAGGGCTGCTCCTCTCTGTCACCCTGGATGTCATCCAGCACCTCGACCTCAGCATCTGCCCCTTCTCCCATCGAAGGTGGGATGAGATGATGATTTCAAAGTACCAGTGGGGCAGCTGGAAGTGATGGTCAGGGGGTTTTCCAAAGTGTAAGTCCCTGAGCTTTTGAATTCTGGCTCAGTTTAACACTGCCACGAAGAGGAACTGCCACCGTGGTGGCCACCCCTGGGGCTCCCCTCTCCCCCTCCGGGCTGGTGTGAACCCGCGGTGAACTCACCTTGGCAGGAGAGCAGAGGGGCAGCCACAGGGCAGGTGACAGCAGTGCCAGTGCAGGGAACAGGTGGCCAAAGGGAAGAATTGCCCTTTCCAGCTGCAATTAGCCATTGGATAAATTGGTATTTATCGTCAATTGTTTCCTGCAGTGGCAGCAGGTCCATAGCCAGTTTTAAATTCCTGTCCCAAGGGAAACTTTTCCTGCAGTCACAGACCGGGAAGTCTAATCAAACCCACACTCATCTCAAGAGTAAGGAGGTGGGTCTCAAAGGAGGCCTTTGACACTTGGGGTGCTTAAAATTTGAAGATTCTTTCCCCCTAAAGCTCTTAAGAAAATTCCTTCTCTCTGTATCCCCCTTGCTAACTTTTCCCTAAGTCTTTGTGAAGTGGGAGTGGTGGTGGGGGGACCCCACATAAGATTTTCATGAAACAAAACTTAAGTTTATATGTTTTTCCTCTAGAAAAAAAATATTGATATATTTGACTAGAACAAGCCCTCCAAATCTCTTCAAAAGGTTCAAACCATCGATAACACTTTCCAAAACAAAATGGACTGTGATGAAGACAGCCTGTTGATTAAGATATACCTATTTTAAGTGATTCCCATCCTAAGTGCTGCTGGTAACTGTGAAAGCCTGTTAATGGGGAGGAGCAGCAGGACATCCCTAAAGCCCTTCAGATCATTATCTATATTGCTGTAATTCACAGAAGCTGAGATCATGTCCCCATTGTTTGGTGTGGACACAACACGGTCACAACCCTTATTTAGGGGGGGTTTGTGGAGGTTTTATTGCCTAAGTAAACTGGGCAGGTGGAATGTGGGACAGGGGGAGCGATGAACCAGATCACTCGAGCAGGTTGCTTGAGTTCTCCAAAGAACCTCACTGAGTGGTTTGGTGGACAGTTTTGCAACAGTATGTGCAAATAAACAGCTTTCATAATTTCCAAGTAGTGAGTTATTTCCATGGAGGCAAGGTGTTAATAAGTGGGGGAAGTGACACAGGTTCTCCTTTCATGCTCCAACAAAAGGCATGCCAGGCAGCCTTCCAAGATCAGTCCCCACCATCAGTGCAAGGAGAGATAAACTCTTATCTTGGCAGGTTTCTTTTTCCATCTTTGTTCATGCTGCTGCTTCTTTTGTCCTCCCTTTTTTTCAGATGGCTTTTCCTTCCTCTTCCACTATCCTTGCCCTGTCTTTTATCCTGCCTTTCCCCAAATTTTCTGCAGGTTTCCGATGGCTCCTTTATCACACATCTCCTCTTCTAAGATCAACACTTGGGGATTTCTGTTTGGGGCTTGAAAAAGCACATCTGGACAGTCAGAGAGTGCTTTTTAATGCTGATCTTAACATGCCAAAGCAGGACCACTCAGGCAGTGGATGTGCTTAAGCATCTCTGGTTTAACTGGGGGAAGAATCGAAGCCATGAGAAGAGAAATCAATTGCTGAAGGTTGCACACAAAGCCACGAGCAGATCCAGCAGTGGATGTGGGGGCTCACATTTTGGATGGTGCCTCCAGGAGAGAAACACAACATGGAAAATCTCTGTGTCCTGGGAAGCAAATGACTCCTGAAACCACTCTCCATCTCCCAGCCTCTGGCTATACCTGAAGACAAGGGGTGATTATAGCAGTTTCTTTAAGCTCCAGAGATAAAAGGAGTCTCACCATGGGCCACAGGCTGATCTCCAGTCGCCTGACCTGCTCTTTGCCCGGAGACAACGGTCACGTTGTTTTTTCTGAGTTCTCTGCTCTGATCTTTTGTCAACATGATGTTGCAGCTTTAGCTGGGCGGGGGTTTTTTTGGTGGTTGGGATTTTTGTTGTACAAGTTCCTCCCCCTGGTTTTAATCTTGACCTTGATGAGAACTTTTTTCACGTGGGAAAATGTAAGCAGGACACGCATTTCATTCCTGGCTGATCCATGTATGTCCTCAGATCAGTGTGCAAAGCACGCCTGTGCTTTATTATTATGTTTTCTCACCACCTCCACCTGGACTCAACAACTATTTCCAGCTCATATGAGCTGATGAAATCTAATTTCATCTTTGCTTTTGCCGAAAGCAAGAAATGAAGAGAGGGAATAAACCCAGAGCTCTCTTGCTGAACACCACTTTGTTGCCATCTGTGGCTCTGAGGAGGGAGCTTGAGCACAGGAGGCGGACAGGAAGCCAGCAGCTTTCCCAGGAAAAAAAGCCCTGTGTCCTCTGTGCTGCTCTTGTTGGCTGCTAGCTGGATTGGGAAAAAAAAAAACCAAACCAACAACCAAACCTCCTCTAAACCCCAAAGCTCCTTTTGACAGCGACAAATCATTAGCTCGGAGCCAGTCTGCAGCATGACAAAATAAACTCGAGGAGGGGGGGAAAACCTCTCTCCTGACAAGCATGTTAGATTTTCAAGGGAAGGAGAAGTTGCTGTCGAGAAAAACAAAGAGTGAGAGGACTCTCAAACTGGGTTAAAAACAACTACCTAGGTATTACCACATAGGAGTGTGCAGGGCTGCTCCTGTGTTTGTGCTGTGTCAGTCAGTCCTGGTTGTGTTGGAGGTCACTGTAAATTAAAACCATAGGCAGGTAAGCTGGAGAAAAGGGTTTTGAAGGGTGAAGATCCCATGGAGCTGGGAATGGCTGATGAGGAGGGAAGCGTTCCCATGCTGTGGTGTGACAGGTGACCACACAGGCACTGGGAACCCACAGGCACTGGCTGTGTGTCCTGGGGACGTTCCCCTGGAGGTGGCCTCATGCTTGGGTTGCTGGGTGTCTGGGGTTTGGAGCTGGTGGCGTGGCTGGGAGCTCATCCCCATCCTACTCTGGGGTTTTTGCAGGGTCTAGTGACTGGTGGCTGGGATGGGCAAGAGGGCTGGGGGCAGTGGAGGTGACTCCAGGGATGTACTTGTCATGCATCTCCCACAGAACTATTTTTATCCCTTTTCAGAGAGGGGAGCTGAGGTAGAGAGGTGGGTGTTAATGCTTTGCTGCCAATACCTGAGCCCATCTAATGCAGATCAGGAGCTGCAGCTCCCAATTCTTCTTCCAGTTATGGAAAACGCCCACAAACACTGGAGATGGCTTCTGGCCAAGAGCTGTTGCTGGGACAGACAGTTCGTAGTCTTGCTGTCTAACACAGCTCTCTTACCACCTGAAAATACCCAGCGGTCCAGACTCGTGCCTTGGAGGGGGCTGAACTGTGATCTAATTGATTGCCTGAGCTCCAGCAAGTCCATCTCAACAGTGACCTGCAGTGTCTGCCAACAGCCCTGCACACTGGGGGAAAGGAGGGAGGCGAGTCAAGAGAAATAAAGTTGAATAAATATTTGCTCTGTGGCATCTACTGGAGAAATTCCTGCAGCAGGAAAACGCACTGCAAATAAAGATAGCCTGTGCTGCCGGCTCTCCTTCCACTGCTGGATGGCTTGGCTTGGTTTCGTCCCTCTGGGAATCTCAGGCATCTTTGAAAATCCACCCTAACCACCATGCCCTGGGCAGGGGACCCATTAGGTTGGTGGGAGCTGGGTCCCAGGGAAATCAGTGGATGCTTCGAAGCAGAGCCATGACTACTCAGTGCCTGGGGCTGTATTTGGAGGAGGAGAACCAAGGAACATCGGGCAGGGCCCCCAGGAAGAGTCATTAGGGCTTGAGCTAATTGTAGACTGTCTGGGTGGTGGGTGGAGGTTCGTGAAATAGGAAGTGTGTTCTGGCTGCATCGCTGCTTCGCTTGTGAAGAGGGTCTGGGTGAGGTGAGAAGGGGAGGCACCTGCAGTGCCTGTCTCTTGTGAGCAGAAGGGGATGGCAGGTCAGGAGGGCACAGACTGGGCAATGAGGAGCTGCTGCTGTCACACAGCACCCAGTGAAGTCAGTTAGGTGGCTCCAGACATGCTCCAGTGATTCACCTGCTGATGGTCTGGAGGGCTGGCCCCTCTCATGGGGTGTCTGTCATGTGTAGCCAGGGCTTGGCCAGGACTGGCTGTGGGGAGGTGTTCAGTCTGTCCCTGTGGCTGGTGAGACAGGACAACAGTGGCTGTGACTGCCATAGGTTCAGATGTGCTTTGCTCTGACTCAGGGTGGTTATTTCCAGCACAGTTTATCTCTCCCTCCGTCATCAGGGGACCCATCAAATTTAATTTGTTAACACAAAGCGAAGCTCTGCTTCTCAGATGGCTGGTGTCACCCACAAAAACTTTTGTTTCATTTGTCATTATTCCTTAGTTTTTGAAGGAGAGTTTTAATTCCTCCCTTTGTGCTAGTCCAGGTTCCTCCTGTAACCTTTGCTGTTGTTGTTTTGCACTGAGCAGAACACTGACTCATCGGCAGCCTCTGTGATAACTATAATTAGGAGAAAATGTATTTACAAAGCTCCTTCCTCTGATGCAAGCATGTCATTGTCCTTGCAGAGAAATCATTCCTGCCATGCTTTCAGGTGGGTGTGGGCAGCGACTGATTACATTTGACACTCTCATTATTTCCGTGGGTTTTCCTAGCTGGATATGCTACCTGTGGAGGAAGTGGTAGTCTGAAAATGTTGTTATAGTTCCCACTTGATTTGAGCATGTCTCTACTGATGCATTTAAACATACAGGAAAAGAATATAGAATGGAGTAGTAGCCAAAGAGAACACTGAGGTTGTGTCATATACCCACAGACTTACTTAGTGCTTTGGAGAAAGAATAAAAGTCAAGAGAAAAATATTCTCTGAAGTTCTTTCAAAACATCAGCTGGAGAGGAGGCTTCTTGAGAGAACATCTCTACTTGGAAGCTGCAACCTCACAGCACGCCCTCCTGTCCCTCTGCCCTGAAGCCAGAGCTGCCCTGCTCATCTCTTTTGGGGTTCAATCCCTTAGGACCAAACTGTGCTCCCCCACCCTGCCCTTTCCGGGACACTGACTTTACTGGGTGTGGGTTTTGCTTTTCCCATTTGCAAACACTCTCTGGAGGGAACAGACTGTGGCATTACTATAAAGAGAGGTGGAGTAGAGGGTAGCTGAGCTGCTCAGGTCAAACTTACAACTTGCACAGCCATACAGAGTTTGGGGACAAGGAAGAACTGTCGATCTGATATCCCATTAAAATGCTGCTGTGCTTGCCAGGATAACTGGGGGTTATTCTGAACACAGCGGAGTGACTGGAGAGGCAGAGCTCAGCCCCACTCCAGTGAAAGCTCATAAAGGTCTCTCTTTGCTGCAGGGGAAAAGCTCAGTTTAGAAAACTGTCTTGGTGCCTCAATAATAGAAAATACCTCCACACATCACTGGCTGCTGCGCTTTGCTCTGTCACCTCGGTTGTTGCAGGTTCAATAGCTCAGATTTATCAGTGCTGTGCCACTGGAGATAACAGGAGAGATTATGGCCCTGCACTGGCAGCAACCCATTTGGGCAGGGCAGGCACGAGTCTGTTGCTTGTACCTGCAAGCATCTCATCCCTGAGGGCTCTCCATAACGTTTTCCGTGGCTGGTGATCCCACACCTGCCCTCTGCCTCTGATGGGGGATTTATACCCCAAAACTCCTGCCCGGATTGTCCTGCTGGGTTTGGTCTGACCTGGACACGGTATCCAGGAGCCTTTGGCTTCCCTGTGGCTTTTTTGTAGCAAGCAGGAGTTGGTAGAGCCACTGCTCCTTGAGCTGGCTGGGGCAGGTTATCAAAACCCAGATCACCTTAGGTTTTGCAGCAAATGAAGATATGAGTGGAGATATCTCCCTCTCAGGGTAAGCCCAGGAGGGACTCTGAGAGCATTCATCAGCCTGTTCAAGTGGCAGAGGCAGGTCAACCCCTGGTTACTTATTCCTCCAGCAGAAATGCGTGAGGCTTTCCAGTTCCTGTGTTATTTTGTGCCCTCATGTGCGTGCACAGCAACAGTGGTTCCAACCCTCAAAACACCAACTGAAACCTTTGCAGTCCCTCCTGCCAGAGGCTGGCACTGAGCTGCTTATCAGCCTTGTCAGGAAACAGCAATAAATCCACCTCCAGCGGGTTCACCTGCCTGCCGTGTTCTGCTTTTCATTGTTCCTTCGCCTCCCCCCGTGACGGCCCGTTTGACACTTTTATAAATGGGTTTGAGCTGTGTGGGATTAACCTACATTTATCATAATTCCAGTACAGAGGAATAAACGCTCCATTCGCTATAAAAGGTGACCCAGGTTGTTTCCCACACGGATGGTGGGTGTGTTTAGCAGGGTGGAAAGCCCAGAGGTTACTGCCCTGGTACAGTGAATTCCTCATCCCTCTCTGGAGCAGAGAGAGTCTGTTTGCTCAGTGCTTTGTGCTCTGGCCTCTGGGCATAGAAATAACCAAATACAAATAGTACCCATGGTGTGTGTTCTTACTAAGTTTGCCCACAATTCATGGGCAAAGGGGGACCCAGAGTGACACGAGCTGGGCTGAGGGAAGGCAGAGGGATTCACCTACACCTGGGCCTGATGTTTGCAGCAAAATGTGTTTCTTTACTCCACAAGCACACCACTGACTTGGAGCAGGAGAAAATTGCCTTCCCACTTATTTCCAGCCTGTATCTCCTGCAGAAGCACTTTTCTTGGGGCTGAGTACTCATGCATCAAACAACATATTCTGTTAACATATTATGGTTCATATTACCTAAAACTTCTTATCAGGCCAGGCTAAATTATTTTGCTCCTCTCTATGAGCTCTTCAGCCCCATCATATGTTGTTCTCTCTAAAGAATTCCTCAATTTCTTTCCTATTTAGGAAGGGTAGCACACACCCCACCTCCCTTGGGAATTGGGTAGGAATGCCAAATAAACATTTGCTATCAAGGTGGTGCATCTCATGCAAATGCTTCCAACCTCAGGCCCTGACCTTTCCTTTGTTACCCTTATCTTTTAAAGGACAGTTTCTTTTTTGGGGAAAAAAAAGCAAACAAACCAGGTTCCTCCCCACCTTTCCCTCCATCCACAGCCAGTGGTGTCCAGGCAGCCCCTTCCACCTTGCAGCCTACGGACAGACATTTTGCTACTGGTGTCAAATATTGTTTGGGCTGAAGTTAGCATCATTCCCAAAAGCCACCAGGTGGGATACTCTCTGTATCAGAGCCCTTGTGCCCTGGGGGGGGTTGCACTGACCTTCACTTTACCAAGACAGTCGTGGCTTGCGAGCAAACCAACCCGACCCGCGAGTCCTCTCTGTGCGTGGCCCTACCAGGCACAGCATCCCAGCTGCCCTTTCCCCATCCTCCTCTCCACCCTCACAGGCCCGAGTCCCGTGTGTGGACGGTGATGCTGCTGCTGGGGACGTGCCTGCTGTACTGTGCCCGTGTCACCGTGCCCATCTGCGCCGTCGCCCTCAGCTCCTACTTCGACTGGGACAAGAAGGAGTCCGGCGTCGTGCTCAGCAGCTTCTTCTGGGGCTACTGCTTGACACAGATCATCGGAGGGCACATCAGTGATCAGTACTGGAAATTATTCTCGTGTTTTCCTCTGTTTTTTGAAGACAGTTAGCAATGGCTGTGCCAAGTTTCACCCTGGGACAGTGGGGGGGGGGGTGGAAAAGTGAAGCATGTCCATGGGGAAAAGCTTTGTGGGGCAGTGCAGGTTGCTCTGAAAGGGGTTGAGGTTTCTCTGCCAACCTCACTCAGGGTCTGTAGCACTGATTGAGAGGGGACATGGGTAGTTCAGACTGTCCAATTAGAAGCCATGGATGCCCCATCCCTGGAGGAGTTCAAGGCTGGGTTGGATGGGGCTTGGAGCAACCTGGTCTAGTGGAAGGAGTATCTGCCCATGACAGAGGGGTTGGGATGAGATGGTCTTTAAGGTCCCTTCCAACTGAAACCATCCATTGATTCTAAGATTCTGAATGCAGCTTTTTTTTTTCATTTGATCTGCACACTCTGTGCATTACCTGTGCAGTGCACTGTGCTATTTAGTTATGGTCCTGAATGGTTTCCAAGCAAAAACCTGAATGTTGAGAGGCAGAAATGATGCAAAAGGGCAGATGTAAAACACCGTCACTGGTTAAGAGAAGCAGAATAGTGGCAGCACTTGGGCTTCTCCATCACCATCAGAGACTCAAGTGTGTCAGTGCTGTTGGGTCTCTGGGATTGGTGTGTGCTGGAGTTGGACAGGCAGTGCTGGCAGGAGGAGAGAAGGGAGGAGATCAGAACTCCTTGTCAAGGGCTAAAGACATGTAAGAGAAGAACAGGTTTGACCCAACAGTTGTTTGTAAAAACTGGCTAAACTGGAAAGGGCACTTGAGTCTTGACTGGAGCACTTTGCCCTTTTGCCCTCCCGCCTTTGATAAGGTGTTTTCTGTCTTCCAGAATAGGAGGTGAGAAAGTCCTCCTCCTCTCAGCATCAGCCTGGGGGTTCCTCACAGTCCTCACCCCGATGCTGACCCACATCACTTCTGCCCATCTCGTTTTTATGACCTCCTCCCGCTTCCTCATGGGGTTGCTGCAAGGTGAGACCCCTGTCCTGTGTCTGTGTGTGCCTGGGGGCTTCCTTGCACAAGGATTCATGTGCAGTACATTCAGATTCAAATCCTGTGGTTTGCAGCGAATGAACCCTTCCCCCGTGTGTCTGAGCAATTCTCTGCCTCAAAGCTGCCTCCACATCCAGCACTTCCATGGGAAAAAACAGTGACATTTCTAGAGAAAGTCACTGACAAGTCATTCCCCTGTAGAAATCTCTCTGCCAGACAGGGGCTGCTGGCTTTGGAAATCATCACTAGTGCTTTTTGATTTTCCACATTTTCAAACTCCTTCAAAGTGTTTGGGGAAAATTGGCCCTTGCCAAAACTTTTGGATAATTTGGGATGATTTTCCTTCCCTGTTGTCAAGCTACAGCACTGAGGAGGTGCCTTGACACTGATGGATTTACAGTAGCAGTTGCAGTGATTGTGGAATGGGGGATTTCAGAGAAGGCACAAACAAATCTTTCGTGGCGATGGGTCCACTTAGTTTATTTTATATCCCTGTTTTGAATGCACCAAAGGTTTTGCTGCTTTATCTCAGTGTTCTCCTTCTGGATCTTTTAAATTTGCTTTTGTTTGCTGACAATCCTGACTGCTCCCTGCCTTGCTCCCGTTGCTTTCAGGGGTGTATTTCCCATCCTTGGCCAGCCTGCTGTCCCAGAGGGTCCGGGAGAGCGAGCGAGCCTTCACCTACAGCACAGTGGGGACTGGCTCGCAGTTTGGGTAAGTTGAAAGGCTTTTGAGCAGCGAGTGACAGTCTCTGGGCATCATATGTGATGAAATGCCATTAAATAGTTGGAGGCAAAACTCACAGCCCAAAGTACATGTGTATTCCCGGGTCCTCAAGGACACCGGCTGCAGCTGAGGAAGCCTCAGGCAGTTGCTGTCGTGCCTGTCAAGGATTTATGTATTGTTTTCTCTTTCTTTTCAAACCAGACTTTGAAGAGTGTTTGCAATATTTAATTACTATGGGAAACAGCCTGATTCAGTAGGAAGAGCAAAGGGTCAGCCTGAGACTGGTCACCTGTTCACTCTGATAGGTGGGGAGAACAGAACTGCCCCTTCCCTGCTGGTCTCCATCAGAATTTTCTTTCTAAATAGGAGGATTTCTTAAAAGCCAAATAGAAATATTACTGTGTTTAATCACTTAGTTTTCCAGTGTGCTAATTTTTTTTGCTGTTTTGTGCATTCTCTGAGATACTGCACACCAGCAACCTCCTTTTCTTTCCTCGATGTCCAAGATAGGGCAGGTGAGGGTGAGACCCTCAGGGGTTTCTCCTGCCCAGTGAGGATCTGACCTGAGATGCCACTCAGGGAACAGGGCAGGTTTCAGAGTCACAGGGGGACTGGGCAGGTGGGCAGCACCTCCACATGCAGCGAGTGAGAAATTCTTCCTGTGAGGACAGTGAGCCCTGGCAGTGAGCCCTGGTTTTCCAGAGAAGCTGTGGCTTCCCCATCCCTGCAAGTGTTCAAGGCCACACTGGACAGGGCTTGGAGTAACTTGGTCTAGTGGAAGGTGTCCCTGCCTATTGCAAGGAGGTGCAATGAGATGATCTTTAAGGTCCCTCCCACCCAAACCATCCTGTGATTCTGTGGCTTTGTGACACTCAGCATTAACCCCAGGGAGCATCTCCCATCAGTGTGCACAATCTGGACACTCTTGGCCAGACCATTAAATCCAAGTGGTTTCCCTTGCAGGACACTGGTGATTGGTGGTGCAGGATCCCTCCTCCTGGACTGGTATGGCTGGGAAAGTGTTTTCTACTTCTCCGGTTTGCTCACTTTGCTCTGGGTTTACTGCACCTGCAAGTACCTTCTGAGTGAGAAAGGTAAATCCCAGACACCCCTGGGGTGGCCAGTGCTCCCAAGGCTTTGGGAACTGAGGGATTCCTCATTGTAATTTTCTCCAAATCCTCTGTGTTTCCAAGATCATGCCTGGTTTTGCACAAAGACCTTTTGCTCAGGTCTTCTGTAACTCACACTGTGTCTCACCCAAGACCCCCCACCCAGAAATGAGGTTTTGAGCTCTTTCAATGCTGATTTCCTGTTTCAAGTCCCACGCTGGATTACATCCCTGATCTGGCTCCTCAGTACTCTTAAGCACCAGTGAAAACACAAAACAGAGCATGATCTTCAAAGTGGATTAAGCTAAAGCAGGACAAGATACTTATTCACAACTAAGAGCATCTACACATAGAGCTTTTAAAAACCAGTTAATCCAGAATATCTCTTCTGAAATAACTGTCTGGGAGTAATTCTGCATATGGACAAACCATGACACCTGGCTACAGCATTATTAGTGTGAGCATGGCATGTAGAAGCCAAGCTCATCGGGAGCTGGGTGTGTGTCTGGTGCTGCTCAGAATTCAAATGTGGTCCCTGCCCATGGGATTTTCATTTAATTATTACAAGGGATGCAAATGGGTGAAAGTGGCTGAGTGGGAAAACGTGTGGACACAGCGGAAAAATTTTGGTCAATGTTACAAGGTGTTTTCTTGAGCATTCAATGGTGGCAGAGCCAAAAAACAAGACCACAAAAGAAGGAGATTAAAGGTAGTAAAGCATAGCAGTGTCCCAGGGCTGCCTCCAGCTGCACAGGCAGTTACTGATCAGAGCTTTCCTTTGGCTGTTTTCTTCCCTGCAGAACTCATCATCCCCATAGACTATTTAACGAGAGGCCTCTCGATACCCAAGCAGACCAAAGTCCCCTGGAAGCAGCTGTTTAGGAAGGCACCGATATGGTAGGGAGCTGCAGTGGCCTCGAGCATCAGCTGGGCTGGGAAGCACCCTCCTTCTTGTCCTGTCTGGGCTTATTTCTTCTGCCTCTGTGTTTTTTGTCCGCTTATTTATATATTTGGGAAACAACCAATTTTCCTAATTCCTTCTGTATCAGTAAAGAACTAAAAAGGTAAGCTTGGCAAAAGGTGGTTTATTTTCTGTCCAGAGGACTGGCAGGCTTGAATGTTCCTGGCAAATCTTTCTCCTTCCCAGGCTGTTCCCCCTGGATGAGTCATGTGCTCCTCCAGACTGATATTCTCTTCTTGTTAGAAACGCTGCTTGTAATGGGCTCCTAAGAAGTGCTGCTCTGGGGCACTGTGTGGCTCAGGCTGTGTTCTTATTGCTGGCAAACATCTTTTTAATGGCCATTTTTCCTTTGGGATACTGCAATGGGTATTGAAGCTCCTCCAAGCATGTTCCCAAGTGCTGTTTTAAGATGCAGGGCAATAGGCGCATTCCTGCCTTGAATAAAAATAGAACTGATAACAAAGCCCTAGAAAACCCCAAACAACACCTCTTGGAGCAGGAGCACTCCAGTAGCACTGGAAGGGACTGGTGGGAAATGCACTGGCATAATTACCACTGCAGTTAACCTTGCCTGAGCCCAGTGCAATGGGACAGCGAGGGAACCAGCGTTGCTGCAAAGGGGAGAAATCCAAAAGGAGTTGATATCTGTGAGAAAAATCTCAGGAAGCAATTTCAGTGCTGTGAGAGATTTCTTTATAAACCGGGAACTGAAATACTGGGTTGCTCGAGCGCCCGTTTCCCACCCCGTGTGACCTGTCGCTCCTGATTGTTTCCTCTCCGCTGTGTGTTTTCAGGGCTGTCATCATCGCTCAGCTCTCCACAGCCAGCACGTTCTTCACTCTCCTCTCCTGGCTGCCAACTTTCTTTAAGGAAACTTTTCCCGAGTCAAAGGTAGGTTGGCTCTGAGGCACAGGCATTGCTGCTCTCTGTTCAGAGGGGGTCGTGCTGGGTACCTGCCAAAGCAGGGTGGTTAGGGAGGAAGATGATGGTTTCTAGTTGTTTGTTTAGGGATGCTGAGGGGAGGCAGAGCTGGGGCACTTCCCAGGCAGGAAAGTGCAGGTTATATTTGGGTTTTAGACTGCTTTTCTTCTGAGAAAACTACAGTTTTCAAATGGCACAGAGCTCATGACGTTCTGCTGTTGCAAATAACCACCATTCACTCATGATTTTTCACAGGGTCTTTAACTGGACTGACATTGTACAGCTCAGACCTGCCTGCTAAAATTAACATTACCATTAATACTGTGTGCTTGGAAAATACTACAAAAGCTTCTCTCTCCTTAGCACGAATGATGTTCCCATTTTTCAGAAAGCCAGGCGATACTTTATCTGATCTGAGAGCTGGTATTTTCATCTTGTTCTCAGAAACTCACAGACTCTTTTCCACAATGGCTCTGTTAGGTTTTTACCATTTCCAGAGCTGCTTATGAATGCCTTTTCATATTACACATGTAAAGCTCTTTATGACATACTTGATATTTATATTAAAATCGTGTATTAAACCGGCAAACATATTGTTGTGACAAGATCTGTGCACCTCGAGTAATGTGCTTGTGCAGCAGTAATTTACCATCTGTTAAGCATTATATCATGGTGCCCTTATGTAAGATGTTCTATATAGTGTGTCTGCAGCTGAGAATCACTTCGTGTGTTTTAAAACACGGTGTGAGGATGCCTGGTCTTAAAGGATGGACAATAATCCCTAATGTGGGAAACCTGTGTCACCTGCTGGCCAAAGTCCCTTTCTGCAGGTGAGCTGCCCCACCTCTGTCTGGGCAGCTGCCTCCAGCCCACTTGGGTGGAGCTGATGGAGGGTTTGGATCAGGGCAATGGGCTGAGGGATGGGGCAAGGTGCATTTGGATTGTCACGTTGAGCAAGCCCAGTTGGTGTTAGCTGACATCCCCACACACCCCGTGGGGTAACATTCTCAAAAGCCACCAAGACCCAAATTTCAAAGGCATGGAAAGATGCAAATGGACCCTGGTATGACTTGCAGGAGCAGCTGAAACAATATTATTCAAACCCGAGATTATTCAGCCCTCCCACACATTCCAAAGCCAGGCAGGAAGGGGAGATGCCTCCACGGGGTGATGGACTCTGAGTAAATGGGGACATGCAGGGGACGATGGATGGATGCATGGATGAGTAGGTTCAAAGGAGCTGAGGTGAAGCCCAGCCCAACCCACAGTGATTTCAGCTCCTTGTGGGATCTGGGCACCGAAGTGCCCCTGAGCAGCTGTAATCCAGCTGACCAGTAATCGGCTGTGATTACAGCTGGAGCAAGCTCACTTAATTGAAAATAGGCCAAAGTATGTTACTACCCATAATGTTACCTAATCCTGCCATTAGAAAATCCAGCTACACTCCCTCAGCCTCACAGTAACGCTGCTAATGAGGTTGGAGCTGTTGGAAATTCTGTTTTTCTGGTGACCCACAGGAAACCCACAGCGAGCTTCCCAGGCTCTCTGGCTCTCCGCCACATCAGCGTGCTGAGCAGTAAACTTTGCCACATTTAATCCCTCTTTCTCAGAACTTTCTGCCTCTCCCCTGGATGAAGAGTCACCAGGGCAGAAGGAAAGACAACAGACCTACAAATGCTACTGCCCTGTGATGCACCTGCCCCCTTGTAGACCTTGGAGAGGGGCATGGTGCGGATTTGGCTCTGCAAATGGGGTGCAGATGCTGCAACAAGCCCCAATTGCTTCATTTCCCCCCCCTTTTCTACAGATACTATGGACTATCAAATAAAATACTTGCAAACAAACTCAGCTCTGACAAACCTCTCGATTTTTGCTCCGTTTCAGGGTTGGGTGTTTAATGTAGTCCCCTGGCTGGTTGCAATTCCAGCAAGCTTATTCAGTGGATTTCTGTCTGATCATTTAATCAGTCAAGGTAAGAGCCCTTCTGACTTTTCATGAGCTCTCATTTTATGGGGTTTGGAGAGAGGATGTGTGTGGGAGGAGATGGGCCTGTTGGTAGGGAGAAGACCCAGCAAATAGGGAATGTGAGGTGCTGGTACCACAGCAGAATAAATACTCCAGTGTCAAAATCCCGTCCATGTGTTTGGGGCTCCCTTTGATCTCAGTCATAATATCCACATGGAGATGAAATCCAGGCATCTGAAATCCACTTACCCTGTGGTCTCCTGGCTGGAGAACAAGGAGGACCTGGTGAGCTGTGCTTAACTCCAACTCTCCCTTTCTCTTTCAGGGTACAGAACCATCACCATTCGTAAGTTCATGCAGGTAAGAGAGCTGAAGCCACAGGAGAGACACCTGAGTTACCTTCTCAGCTCTGCTTACATCTGCTCGTATGGAGCTGGGCTGGGGGTCATAGGTGGAAAGAGGGAAGGTTTTCTGGCTTTGGAGACTGATTGGTGATCAGTGTGCGTGGGAAAGGAAATCCACAGGAAAACCCTGGCTGAGGAACAGAGCGTGGACCTCTGTTAACAATGGACCAATGGTAACACTGAGCACAGTGAGTGCTCTGAAGGGGTTTTCTTTGACAGGTAAAGGCCAATCTTTGTCTCCCAGTTGTCACCCTATCACCATGAATGACCCCTTAGATACCAAGGAAGTAGCAATACAAGGGTGAACAAAAATGGAAATGCTGGGTGAGAACACAGTGTATCCTTTGCTCTGCAGCATCACATCCATCTGGACAGACGTCTGACACAGAAGGGCAGGACACCGGGGGGAAAAAAGGCTTGAGAAGCACCTGGTGCACATGAGCTTTTGCACTGGAAAAGGGAACAGTTTGTTCGTGACAGGATTTGCTTTCTTCCTTACAGAAAATGTGCTGTGGTGGTTAATTCTGCCTTTTTTTCCAGGTCATTGGCTCTGGCGTCTCAAGCATTTTTGCTCTGTGTCTGGGCCAGACCTCCAGTTTTTGCAAAGCAATAGTGTTTGCCTCTGCCTCTGTTGGACTCCAGACCTTCAACCACAGGTAAGGAGAATGATGGGGACAGTAGCTGTGGCCCTTTGCTCTCATCTCACACTTGGCATTTTGGGGTCTTGAAGGAGGCTGCCTCCATCCCGACCGTCAGAGCAAGAACTGGCACTTGCCTGAGCGTTGTGTGTGAAGCTGGTGGATTTTAGTGCCTGCTGGGGTGGAAATGATCCAGCAAACCTCTAGTGTGGGAAAGGGCTTGGACCAGCCAGAATTAGAAAGGTGAAGCATTTTGACCCTTCTGAAAGCTTTGAGTTGAATTGTTTCCCTTCTTATACTCATCTGTACTGCTTCACTCTCAGCTTCTGCTCCTTGTGCCATTTCTTGTCCAGGACCTTTCCTTGTGTTTCTTTGTGTAAATGATGAAGAAATAGGTGTGTTCCATTCAAACAGCCATTTTTTAATCCCTCTCTGTTTCTCACCAGTGGCATTTCAGTAAATGTGCAGGACCTGGCCCCCTCGTGTGCTGGCTTGCTGTTTGGTAAGGGTTCTGTGGGCTTTCCATGCTGGAGAGGTGGCATCTATGGGTGGGACATGGTCAAGGTTTAAGCAAGAGTGGCTCTGGGCAATGTCTACCCCATGTGTGCAGCTTCAGCTTCCTTCTGCAATAAACCTGCCAGTGCTGGGGGCAGGTAAAATGGCACCAACGTGCCTTTCAACCTGCACCCAGGGGTGGGACGATGCTGCATGTCAGTGGTCTCTGTCAGCTGCCCAGAGAAGCTGTGGCTGCCCCATCCCTGGAAGTGTCCAAGACCAGGTTGGACAGGGCTTGGAGCAACCTGGGATGATGGAAGGTGTCCCTGCCCATGGCAGGGATTTGGAATGAGATGAGCTTTAAGGTCCCTCCCAACCCAAACCATCCTGTGATTCTGAGATCAGCAAGGCATTTTGCCAGATGTGCAGACTGGGGGTTGGTGGGAGCCGGGATGAAGCTGCTCACGTCCATGGGTTTTGAACACACCACTTCTTTCTTTTCCTTCCAGGGGTTGCAAACACAGGTGGAGCCCTCCTAGGTAAAGTACCTTCCTGCAGCTCACCCTTTCCCAGAGAGCCCCTCTCCCTGCAGAGGGCAGGATCCAGCCCCAGAGCCTTTGCATGCTTTTCTCTTCTCTTCCGTCACAGGTGTCATTTGTGTGTACCTGGCTGGTTACCTGATTGAAACGACTGGCTCCTGGATTTCTGTTTTCAACCTGGTGGCTGCTGTTAACAGCGTTGGGCTCTGTGTGTTCCTCCTGTTTGGAGAGGCCCAGAGGGTGGACACAGACTCTGCGTACGTGGATCTCTAGAGACGAGCCCAGCAAGCAGCCAAAGGACAGGAGAGTGTCACGTCTGTGTTGCTCAAGTGCCAAAGAACAGTTTCCTTTTTTTTTTTTTTTTTTTTTTTTTAGGTGTTTTAACGGGAAAAAATACGTTGAAACCAAGTGCATAGTGGGTCTGGATGGAACCCACGACAGAAAAGAAATTTAGAGTTTATTTTTTGCTCAGGGCGTAGCTGGTGGCTTGCAGAGCCATCCAGTTTCAACATCTCCAGTGAGGATATGGTCTGTGGGACCAGTTTGTCCCAGTTTGTTTCTTGGGGGACAAAAATCCATGTGGCCAAAGGAGGTTACCTGATCTGTCTCCCAAGGCTGCTGTGGTTTCATGCCCTGCTGAGGGGGAGCTGCTTCTCTGTGCAGGAGCAGGTCCCCCCTGCTCTGCTGTCCTCTGTTCATCCATCTCTGGGCTGCTGTGCCACACCTGTCCTCTGAACTGCCTGACAGGGATCATCCCAACGAATGTACCTCTGACCTTAACCCCCCTCCTGTGCCTTCGTTTTGCAGCCTGCTCGGTGGGTACCAGCCAGGTGCACAAGGGTTGTGAGGTGAATTCCAGGCTTCCTACCAGGGAATGTCTGGCTGGATGTCTGCAGTGGATCCAGGGGCTGTGTCAGTCCTGATGGGAGGCTGCAGAGCAGAGCACTCCAAGGCAAGCCTCTCATTGCTCCAGGACAGAGCTCAAGGTGTCCCTCCTCCCCCTGGGTGGCTTCACCCCAGCCCTGAGCCCAGGCAGATCAGCTTCACCATGAGAGCAGAGCTGATCTGCCATCCCCCAGGGTGAGGCTTAGCTGGGCTCACCTCGTGGTGCAGAAACAGCTGAGGAGTTCCCCAGGAGCTGCTTTGCCAGATGCTGTGAATGTATGGGAAGAACCAGTCCCATTGTGTGCTGTAGATCTACACCCCTAAATGTGTTCTGCTGGGATAGATGTGTCCTCCATGTGCTCTCAAAGGGCCGAGGGAGACTTTCCAAAGAGCCTCATATGGGCAGGTTTTGTTCCTATGTTGAGCATAAACCAAACTTCTGCACTGGGGATCCATAGGGATGTGGATCCCTGAGGTTCCCCGTGCCAGAGGGGACACCTCGGCTGTGGACACCTCTGAGCCTGAATGTCTTAAGTTATTTATAAATATTTTAAAATGTAAGCACCAAATTCTATATTTTATGTACTTGAGGCCTGATTCTGCATGCTGATTTTGAGTGGTACTCCCACCACATCCCACACTGTTTCTCGAAGGGAGTATCTACCAGCCTCCAGTATTTAGTTTTGTTAGGATCAATTTTAAATGTGACATTTCATATCATAGCAATTCATTGCTGTTCCTCTTGCCTCTTGCTTGAGGCTGAAAGGTTCTCTTTGATTTCTCCAATGTTTACCAGAAAAATTCATCTCAGACCAGGGAGCAGATTTCCCAAGGACTTTGCAGTGCAGGAAAGCTGTAGGTTCAGGTTCCTTGTCCATAGAAGAATCCCAATAATCTCCTTCTTCACCTTTTGTTTTGGCCAGATTTCTTCTTGGAAGACCTGTTGGAGCCAGGTTAAATTTCTGACTAGGTGCATTTGTAGTGGGAATAGTGACAGCCTTTTGATTGCAGAGACACCAGTGGGTATCATTAAACTGAGCTGAGCCACTTACTGGGCATATTAAGATATAAAGGTGCAACTGCTTGATGTCTTCTCAAGAGAATAAAAAATCAATGTGACCTGATTGGGGACAGAGAGATAAGAAAGTAATTTTTTTCTCCTTCTGTGCTTTTTTTTTCTCTAAAAGGTTGTTTGCTGCCATAGGTACCACCCTGTATCTGGGCTGTTGCAGTGCTGCAGAGGCAGGACCAGGAAGGCTGGTGGGAAGTCTTAAAATCAGTGGGTAACACTCAGAGCAAACTCAGCCAGGCTTGCCAAAGAGGCCCTGGGCTGTGCAGACGTCTCTGCCAGCTTGTCCTTTGTCCAGTCTGAGCAGATTGCTTGCATGGCCTTTTCTGTAGTGACACATAAAACAAAGAAAAAAAAGGGGTTTTGTGGTATTTTTTAGTGTCTTCCCTGGTTGTTCAGTGTTGCAGCTCAGGAGCACAAGGAGTCAATCCTAGTTTTCTTTGCTGATTGCAACATTTCTTGTGAAAGAGCTGATGAGTTTAAATCGCTCGAATCTGAACCAGGCGGCTCGGCCACCCCTTGGCTCTGCCAGCTGGGAAATTTGGAATTGAGATCTTCAAAGGAAAATCAGCATGGCTGGCTGTGCCCTCTCTGTAAATTCAGCTAACACTCCAGTGGGCTGTCCTGGTTGTCTGTCTCTGTAACTGGCTCACAGGTTAAATATTTGACTTGAGCTTATGTGTCATTATCCTCATACCTCGCTGATGACGTGCTGAAACCATTTTGCAGACCTGTAGTGTTGTTTGTTTAAGCCACCTTGCCAAAGCTTATGGTCTGAGTTTTTGTTACAGAAGTACCTAAAAAAAAAAAAATAAAGGCAGAGAATCATTTGCATGCTGTGGTTTTCCTTTGACTGCAGAGGTGTTAATTTGTGTGATCAGTAAGGGACAGACAAGTATATTTGATGTGATTAATTCCTTAGGGGGAGCTGTGCTGGGAGAGTATCTGGGCTGGGAGTTTCTCACAGCATCCTCCCCTCTACATCAGACCCTGAGCACATCTTCTCACTGCTTTTGGAGAAATGACTGAAAAGCTGCCTTCAGCAGAGCTGTGGTCAGTACACCACCCATGATCCAATATCACTTGAGAGCAGCAATACAAACGAAGTGATTCTTGGGTTAGGTGGGATATACCCCGCAGGCAGATCACCTTCCACGTGGAGACCGTGCTAAAAAGAAAAAAAATTGCCAATTTTTTTTTTTTTTTTCCACATCCACACTGATAGGTTCGAGCAGATGCCAACAGAGGGAGCTGTGAGATTTGGGATGTGGCAGCTCCTGGCCGGCAAGAGCTGCCGTGCCTGGCCCTGGCACAGCTGGCACGGGTAGTGTGGCTGATGTGGATGGTTCGGCTGGCACAGCTGGAACGATGGGCACAGCTGGCAAAGCCTGACCCTGCCGAGGAGCAGCCCTGGCTGCTGGCTCTCACCACCAGAGCTGCCCTGGGGAGTCCCAGGATCTGCTGTCCCAGCATTCACTTTCACCCCTCACATGGCAATTGTACAGGTAGTGGTGGGGAGACAGTTTAGAATGAGAAATAGCCACCAAAAGGAATTTTAACATCTCATCTGTAGGGTCATGTAATCAAGATAATATCTCAGAAAAAAACCAAACCAATGTGAAACTTGGTGGTATGAAAACGATGCTGAAGATGATTTAGAGTTTGGGTGTCATCCTCAAACTTTCCTGTCCTTTTGCTCCTCTTATAAAGGTATAAACAACCTCTGACATACACACCGGAGCTGTTTTGACCTTTTAGGTCCTTTAGGTTAGTTGGAGCTTTTCTTTCTGCCACATTCCTTAAATTGTCTGTGTCATAGGTTGGACCTGAGCTTTTCCAGCCTGCCCAGAGCAAGAAGGGACAGGCACAGTGCAAAAGGATCTGGGAATCTGTGACTGGGCTTAAAGGTACATTGTGTTGCTGCTGGGGGTGGTTTTGTACTTAAATTGTTTGGGAAATATTCCATAGCTGGCTGGAGACCATTAGAAGGATACTGTTTTATTGCAGTTTGCATAACACTAAATCAATAAACACATTCAAGCAGATGGAAAGCAAAGCACAGGAGAAAAATACCACTATTTGGAGGAAAAAAAGGAATGGCAAAGAGCACTCCTTGCTGCTAGTTTTGCCTGGAAAACACAAGCAGATGCTCTCACAGCAGAGACCTGATCTAACATCCACCTGGCAGCTCCCCAGGGCCGGGACATGCCCCAAAGACACCAGTTCTGCAAAGGGCACCCAGTCCTGTAACAAGCAAAATATCAGCGTTTATTGCAGCCGTGACCTACTGCGTGGCATGTAATGAGGAATTTTCCATTTCAAACTTTAATGCAATAATTAAGATGTCCATTAAGGTCTTTACAGTTTGGCTGCTTGTAATTAGAAAAGGGAGTGAGGGGGGCAGTGGCAGGCAGTTGCAGCCCAGGGCATCAGGCTCCCACCAGCAGCTCTAAGTGCTCTCCACTTTCTTATTCCCTACTTGGTTTCTTTCTTCAAAATAATTTTCCTGGGTTTGTTTGTAACTGTCCTCAAAGCAAGTAGTCTGAAAACCAGATGAAAAACAGTCTTACATAACATGGGTTTAAAAAAGAGGTTTTCCCCTCTACCAAAGCACCTCCAAAAAGTACTGATCCTCCTGCAGTGCAGTTTTTGGGGGTGTCTCTGAGCAGGGGGATCCCTGGGGCTCTGCAGGCTTCACCTTGGGCCAACCTGCCCCATCCAACGGCCCTGCAGCAGCTCCATGGGCACAGAGTCACAGGAATAGCCCAAAAGCACAAGTATGACCATCAGCTGCAGGGATGGTGACAGGGGTTTTGTGCTCCATTTGGTTTCCAGACTGGTGTAGCTCCTGCTGACACAGTTCCTGGTGCAGAATTAAGGGTGGGACAGGTTTTAAGCCAATAATGAAATAAGAGGAAACCCCCATATATAAACCCACATCTTCCTGAGTGTCTCTGCTCCTGAGAGGCCAAAGTCCCATTATCCAGTAATTGGATTTGGCCTCTTAAAGCAGGACTGAAACACTGTAAAATTTTGTTCCCAAATCACCAGATTTTTGCAAAGGATTAACAAAAATTAATGATTTGACTGAGGAAGTAGCTGCCAGAAAAGCTTCGGCTGATCCCTTGAATCCCTTCCCAAATTGCTTTCCCCTGCTCTGTACAACTCCCAATTTACTGGTGACTTGCTCCTGTTCCTCCCAACACAGTGCTGGGCATGATCTCCTGCAACTTTGACATTCATTATTCTCTAATAAATTGTGTTTAATTTCAGCTCCAAAGGAAAAAAAAATTGCAATCCCACTTCCATGGAAGACAATGGAAAGGTACACATGTAGCAATTATCAGGAGGACTTAACACAAAGAATTAGCAACCTACTCGTGCATGTCCTGCATTCTCATTAAAGGCAAACTGTTTGTGGGTGACAGGGGATTTTCCTGTGCAACCACTGAGGCTCATTGCAGCTGTTAAATTCCTTTCATGTTGTTTTTTTTCCCCTACCAAGTTTCAGACAAACCCACTCATTTACAAACTCTCCTGTGTGAGTTACAGGTGAGGTGGATGCTTTCATGAGTCCCATCCTCAGCCATTCAGATGCCCAGAGCTGGTGTGAACCCTGGCTGGTCACGGGAGCCTTTCTGTTTTTGCTCTAATTTTGCCCCACATGAGACAAGGGATGGCCTGTGCCCATAAACCTGGTGTCACAAATTTCCTGGTCACCTTGGTGTGGTTTTGCTGCTGTGACCAAGCTGGTCCTCAGTGCCTGCAGGTCTGCTCTGCCTCCTCCAGCATCTTCCCTGCTTCAACCCTGTCCCAGACACTCTCCAAAAGCTCATTTAGCAGGTTTAGGGGAGCATCCAAGGCCCCCACATGTCCCCATGCTCATGGGGGAGGGAGGATGTGCTCTCTTATCCTGCACTCCAGACACCGGTTCTTTAGCAAAATAAACCCCCTGAACAAGAAGTATTATCAACAAAAGCATAAACAGATATCAGAGTGAAGGTCTTCAGATGTGTAATTTATCATGATCTCTTATTTCATTTTATTTCAGCCCACCTGGGGCACAACTGTGCTTTGTAAAGGTCTGGAGGCTGCAGTTTTCACTGCAGGAGCCACCTGGGCCAGGAGAGCTCAGCGTAAACCTCCATCCTTGCAATCTCATTTTACAGCACACTGTAAGTAGGACACTCACTGCAACAAAGTGGTGACCCAAGAAATGTTTGCACAGCCCTGGGCTGTCCTTCCAGGAGAGCCCGTGCTGGCAGGAGATGGGCTGTTCTACACCTGGACACGAGGTTTGAACCCAGGGATCACGATAGACCCTTTCAGAGTGGTACCTGTTCTCTGGGGATTTTGTGCCTGGGGACAGCTGGGAGTACAAAATTCAAATTTAGCTAATTTCTTACATAAATGATGCATATTGAGGTATTAAAACTAAGGGGAAATTTTGATTCACCTCCAAATCAGATTTTTTTCCCTGGCTCATGAGTCTGTGATGAGCTAAGTAAAATGCTTTAGCTTTTTGCAGCTCTAGATGTGACTCTTTGTCCTTTGAGCCCTCTTAGGTATCAAGTGCTCTCTCTCAGCACCCTCAGATCATTCCAATATTTTCAGAAATACACTGTGTAATTTTCATTCAAGTTAGGGTAAAAATCACTGAAATCCAAAACCAGAAGCAGAACCTTGAGATGGACAAACCCGTACTGGCAGGTTTTGGAAACATTTCCTATTAAATTGAGGCTGAAAAATGGGAACTGTTTGCAAGAGCTAACAGATAAGCATGCCTGGAAACAGCTGTATTTTAGAGGGTTTAGGAGGGAGAACACCCCTGCAATAACATCATTAAGATGTATTACCCACAGGTTTAAATGATATGGCTAAAGCTGTTCAGGAGGGAAACTGAACCATTCACTGCTGTTCCAAAAGCAGATATGCTGTCACACAGGCGATTGAATGCCAAATCTGCCAAGGTAGTTCTGGCTGAGACCTGCCTCTGTGGGTGTCTGAGTGTTGCAGTCAAAGCACACATGGAGCAGACACACAAAAATCTGGCTTGTGAGTGCAACACCAAGGCAGTCAATTTGGAGTATTACTGGTGGGTTTTACAGAGCCAAAAACGAGAGCATGAGTAA